TTTTTTTTACATTATATATAATCCTTATAGATCTCATACATGTCATAAAATTGCTCTGGAAAAACATTCTAAAATTAAAATTTATCCCTATCCAGGTTATGACAGTTCAGCTTAGTCTGTTTGTAAAGCACCGATTCACATTAAAACTTAACATGTAGAGGGGTTTAAAACAAACTGGGAGAATATAGAAAATGACCTGAAGCCACCGCAGAAGCTTTGCTTGTGGCAGTGAAACGATAGAAAGGAGGGCTGTCACAGTGTTGCACCACAGGGTTGACGGGATCTGTTTGCTGCAGCTCAAACAACAACTCCTCCATGGTTTGCATTGTGTTGTTTCGGCAAAGATAGATGACCACCTTTTTGATCTGGATAAATAAAGAAGGAACGATTCCTCAGAGAAACTGTGAAGTTACAGGAAGACATTTTTCTGACATTTTCTCGACGGCCTGAATGTCTTACATATGGGAGAAGGGTGGTGTCACTGCAGACACCACACAGGCTGATAATGAACTGCAGAGTGGTTCTCAGATTGTTGCTCCATTTCTCGTTGCTGACTAAAGCATTCCAGGCATTTTCCATCTCTGGTCCAGGTAAATCATCTCCATACTAAGAACAGAGATTTAAAAAAAAACACAAAGCTGTATTCATTTCAGTTATATATGATATTATACATCTCAACAACATTTTACCTTGGCTGTCATGAACATGAGGTTATTGAGAACCATAGACGTGGCTTGTAACGATCCCCAGCCTGTGCCTTTTAATGAGTGTGATGAATCTGTGCTGGTCAGCTGACAGGAAGACTCGCAGCTGGGGTTTGACGGTGCAAAGACTGGGAGCAGCAAGCCGCTGTCCACTAGTTCAATGTTACCAAGCCAGGGAAGGAGGTAGGTTAGCATGATCTGCCTGCCATTGGAATGAGTGGTGGGGAACCTCTGGCTGACCTCTGCAAGAAAAGGACGCCAACAAAAACATCAGCATAACATCATTAGAAACTGCAGTATTTGCACTTGGACAAATGAAGATGAAATATTCTTGATTTCACCATAATGTTCATCTGTGAAGTTGTCCATTTAAACAGTAAAGAAGACTGTTTTCCCCCTCACAATTCTCTCCGATTCACACGTACTTGTCCAGCACCAAGTATTCAGAGACATGTCCAGCATTTCTCCGAACAGTTTCAGTCTGGCTTCAATTGCCATTATAGCAGAGATGCAGCCGCATGTCAGATCTCCATCAATATCCTCATAGCAGAGTCGTTAATCATTCTCATGTTTTTGACTTTACTACTGCAGAGGACATTATCTCCTATAACGTCTTATAGTGAAGATTACCTTCCACTGTTATTACAACTAGCTTAAATCTTATTACTTTGGCAACATAAATCATTTCCAATCACTACTGGTGTTCCTCAAAGGTGTGTACTAGGCCCATTTTTTTTCATCAATCTTCTTGGCAATAAGTTGTAACAATTTAATGTGTTTTCATTGAAATAATGAAACCAAACTATATTTCATCTAACCTCAATCCTGCCTGCTTGTTAATATGTCTGTTTGAACGAGGTTAAATGTTGTTTACTTAAAAACTGTTAAATAAAACAGGGGTTCTCCTAACTGGTACAAAGTCACCAACACACCCTTCAGCACTCTCAGGTCTATCTTCTGATTGCCCTCTTGATTTATTTATTTTTTGCTTCATTGTTTTATTTTGTGATCATAGAGTTAGCTTGAGTGTCTTAAAATGCATTTATATATCATGTCCGTCATCGTCATCAACACCACTTACCTGAAAACAAGGGGAGCGTGAGTTCTGGGTACATCCTGGCTAGCTGAGTAGAGAGTTGTGGGAGTGAGACACTGTAAAGAGGAGGCAATGGACCATGGGTGCCATACAGAATGTTGCTTGGCTTCAGCTCTGCCGTCTTCTTAGAGTACATAAATAACTTGTCTTCAAGAATCTGTTTGAAATAAAAAAAAATCAAGAAGGGTGTCATACATACTTTACCTTATTTTTAGGCAAATGTTTTAGATTACTAGCAATTATTTGTAGTTTGACTTGTTCCACAAAAATAATACAGTTGTAGAAACAACCTCAAAATGATTCAAAACATTGACTATTGTCACAAAATGAATAGTCATACATTTTTTCTGTGAAAAGTGGAAATTTAACAAGTAATTTTTGTTTTTTCTTACCTGCATGAGCTGCATTGAAATCTCATAGAGTTCTCTGTTGGTGCTACATGCTTTAAACAGCACAAGATTCAGCAGTGTAACAATGTCACATGGGTAGTTTTTACTGGTAAAGAAAAAGGGAAGAGACAAAAAAAAGTTCATTGTAAAGAAAATATTTTTTGTTTTCAATTATGTTGATTCCGTAGAATCGAAAAAGTCGATCTAAACAGTCGAGAGCTTAAGATTATTTATACCTGCTGGAAAAGACGGTAGCAATGGCTTTAAAGCAACCAGAGGCGAGCTGGTGGGAACCAGTGAAGCACCGATCCACCGCCCAGTTGAACAGGTTGACCTGATCGGCATTTAGCTCCAAAAGCAAGATGACAACTTCACAGCCAAGCTGATGGACCTGAGCACAAGGCAGACAGAAGACTGACTTACATGATTTACAGAATTATCTGCTTTTCTTTGTTTAGACTATGAATTATTTAAGCATTTTGTGAGTGATTATATCAGTTTTGCAACACAAAATGATTTAGTATTAGCAAGATCTCTTGCTGACCTTTTGCTCAACCTACGTAACACTATTTATGAAGAAATGTGTGGAGAAAATAAACATGCAAAAGGTTTTGTTCATTGTGTAAGCTTCATAGAAACAACATCAGACAAGCAAAATAATCATTTGCTTCTTGCCAAGATTCCTGTAAGAAGTTGGCAATAAGCAGAGCTGGCCTTTTAGAAAGCAAGCCATCAGGTAAGTCTGCTCTTTGTTTAAATGCTCCACAGTGGTAAAGCATTGGCTACAGACCCGCTGATCCTGGCAGGCCAGTATATTATCCAGCCACTTATAGAGGTATCCATCTTGAGAAAGGCCAACATTATCGAAGACAGGACCACAGCACAGCACAGCAGACATGGCCTGGAGAAATGAACACAATCAAGACAAGCTGCTTTAATTGTCCTGACTTTTCTGATCTCAAGTTATCATAATAATTACTTTTAAAATTATTTTTCTTTATTGAATATTAAATAGTTATTGAGCTCAACACCAGGCAAAACAGGATGATATTTCAGTCACATTTTACCTTTAGAGCACAATACTGATATCTTGTTATTTGATGATTCCTGTCACTGTATCGGTCCAGCGGGGTGAACATGATGCTGAAGGGACCTGCCCATTGGCTGAACAGGATAAAAAGGTGATGCCGAAGGCTCTGCTGTGGAAACAGGAATCTCCTTTGGTGCACTAGGGAGGGAAAAAAAAGTTGTTGTAGGTAAGGGCATTAAGAAAGTGCAGTGTCAGGAAACCTATCTGTGCATCATAATAAACTGCTGCAGAAGGACTTTGCATAAAAGCAAACTATCAACATGCTTCAACAAGCCATTAGCAGGTCTTTGGAGACTTAAGTACTAGGCAACCCATGAGTCATCACCTGCTTTTGTATCTTCGGTCTTTAAGCTGAACTATTTTTGGACCTACTCCCAGCAGACACTCCAAGTCAAGTACAGTGCTAAATATACTTTTGGTCCTTTTGTAAAAGGGGTAGTTTACAAGAAAGTTCAGGGGTACCTGGTACACATTGGATGAAGTTGGCCACCATCGCACTAAAGTGAGCTCGGATGTCCTTGAGGATCTCAGCCTCTTTGTCATTTTCAGCTTCAAGAAGCATCCGGGTTAAATCAACATATTCCAGGAACAAAGCACCAAGGGCGAGGGTGTCACGTTCCAGAGCGCCATTTGTACTGCAGGATGACAGAAAGAACAGATATGCGCTCAGTGAGACCAAATTTCAAGTGATTTGATTTTACTGCTTTTTAGTTCTTGTAGCTCTATTTCGAAAACAAGTTTCAGCTGCAGCCACACTAACCTGTCACTGATGACACCAGCATCAGCCAAAAGCTCAAAGATGCGAAGCAACTGTAATCGCAGCAGGTCCCGCCGCTCACGGCGCTTCTTGTTCTGCCAACGATCATGTACACATAACTTAAACAGTGAGGATTCTCTGAAACAAAAACGCTGTCTGGTGAGGAATATGAACACGTGTTGAGCATCATAAACAACAAACCTCAGGTCTTCTTTCTAATGCCTCTTTCATGAGGGGATGTAACTCCTCCACAAGCTCCCTGTGTGCAGAAAGTGCAATCATTATCAATCTATTTTTACTTCTTTCTCTGAAAGGGATTTGAGCAACAGAACATTAGCTCTAGGAAACAATGTGAATAGAAATTTAAAGGCCTCAGTCAGGTATAATCCTGTGACTTGTCTCCACATTAAATCCATACAAAAATTTAGGTCAGTGAAGATTTTAATTAAAATGTGGACCTACATTCCATTTAATCAGTTTAGTCATAACCCAACCCTGCACCACCACAACAAAAAATCAATGTCATTCAATTATCATGAGGCACTAAAGCTCATGATAAAATGAAGGGTGGGACAAAAAAGTCATTTAGTGCCCCAAAATGTAACATTTATGGCGGCAATTGTTCAGAAAATAAAATGTCAAACATAGATTTACCTGAATACCAACAAATTAGTCCGTCCAAATCCAAGAACTAATGACTCTGTCAACTCGATGCTCTCTGTTCTCATCAGTGGGACCAGCTGCTTTAGAAGCCAAGCCACAGATGGGCTTCCAATAACCTGAAACAACAAAACTGACATTGTTCGGTCGCACAAATGAAATCTCTCGTGCTGCTTGTGCAGCACTAATTAGTCGGTGCTGCATTGAGACAAAAATACAGTTAAGAATACACCGGTTTCCTGTTTCACTCATGTGAAATAACCGCTGTGTAATTCAATGCACTGAGTGTGAATGTCAACAGGCTCAGTGTGAACACCTGATCCTTTGCACTCTGGGCACTGAGGGAATTATTAAGGCACAATGACGAAGAGACAACTACCTTGTTATCATGACTGACAGTGCTATCAGGTGTGGAAGTTGTGATCTCAGGTGTCGACGCTCTCAGATGGCCTGGGCTCATGATACTGGGCTTGGCCACCCCAAAGCAAAGGATCAGGTAGTTTCTCCATAATGTTACGTAGCTCTCCCCACTACTAGATGTGCCAGTCTTCTTTGCATTCACTGGATTGCTGGTAAGACCATGACACTGTTAGGAATATATTTAAGAACATGTACTTTGTGAATTTACAGCCGACTCTGAGGACACTTACTTCGGGTCGACCAGGGGCATGAGCATCTGCAGTCGAGTGAAGGCGTAGGGCCAGGCATAGCTGAGAGCTGTGGGGCAGAACTTTGGAAGGTTGTCCTGCCGAAGGAGGCAGAACACACACAGCACCCAGGGGTCCTTCACAGACTGGGCGGAGAGCCACACGTGCGAGGGGCTCATGATGTCATACTGACTGTTGACAAGTGCCGCATTCCACTCCACGAGCCACTGAAGATCCACGTGGTGGCCAGCTGGCAGCGCGGCCTGCGACAAGCCAGTGACACAGCAGGGGCAGAGGTCAGGGGTGGTGAGCAAAATAGATTTGAAACAAGAATGCATTGGTGATGAAGTGGAGGCAACTGAATTAAGCAACAGCTACTTGACTTCAGGTGTTTGGTTTGTACATCCAACAGAAATGATTTAAAATTTATTGGGGTTTTTTTTTGTCCTTGACAAATGCTGATCAGGTTCTTCCATGTTGAAATCATTTCAGAGTAAAGACTCACACCATGACTCCCCTTTTTGTGCAATAAATGAGATGTTTTAATAGTGCATGCAAAGAACCACAGAGATATAAGAATTTTTGTAAAAAGAAATTTTCTACAACAAGCCAGCAATTAATTCAGACTCTGAGAGAGAGAGAGAGACTTTTAGCAGGAAACAGGAAAAGAAAGCAAAGTCAGGATTTGAGGCATAAGACAATATAGGTTAAAATTAGTTTAAAATGTATTCAAAATCATCCAAGCAAATTTTCAGCTGTAATCGTGTACTGATTGTGGCGTAAGTTAGCGAATGACAGACGTTCCTCTGGCTTTTCAATGTACCAAAAAAGTGCACTCAAAATTAACTGATAAAATAGCAACACTATTCAAAAACTTACATTTGACTAAAATCAAAAAATCAAAAGCAAAAAATGCTATAAACTTATATATATATATATATATATATATATATATATATATATATATATATATATATATATATATATATATATATATATAT